GCCGAGGGCGCTGCCGAGGGCGCTGCCGAGGGCGCTGCCGAGGGCGCTGCGGGCACCACGGAGATGGCCTGGGGGTTGAAGAAGAAGGATCCCAAGGCGCGGAGGTTGAGAGGAGCCCGAGGTTCGCACGGTGCAAATGGAGGCTCGTTGATGCTTTGATATATATATATATATGTGTGTGTGTGTGTTCTCAGGGTAGTAGACTAGAAGTTGGTGAGATTGTACATTGTTTGTTGAAGATATCTACAGTACAGATAGAAGATGGTCCACAAGAAAGGATATGGGCAGATGCCCTTTGCCTACTTGAGCGAGTTTTGCTCAAGGGATTCAATTCAATCCTGCAAGAGACTTGTCACCGTACAATCAAAAATATCCCCTACAATCAACAAGATACAAAATACAGATCCATTATTATTGTCCAAGACACCTCAACAGTTCGACCTTGGTGAGGCCTACTTCTCCTACTTGGCCCAGCATCCCGAGGCCTGGTGGTGGCCACCCAGTGGTCCTTCCAGCTTGAGGTTTAGCAGTCATGTGATTCGTAGCTGTAGCTTGCTTGAGGTGTATGCGAAGCAGCAAGAGGATCGAGATCGTTGGAGAGAAGGTTTGCCGCAGGCGCAATCTATTCTGTGGGGCTCACCCAGGTAGCTTTGTGCAAGACCCAATCGGTTTGTTCTGGATGATTTAATGGTTCCACCTGCCCCCCGACAGTTTCATGGAAGGTCCTCATGGTTGCGGAAAAGCCCAGCGTGGCGCGCCTGGTGGCCGAATGTTTGTGTGGAGAAGGCCGGGGCGACCGCGTGCGCGAGCGCCGGGGCTTGGCTGCCGCCTGCCCAGTGCTGGAGTTCGTGGCAGTGGCCCGGCTGGTTGAAAAAGATCGCAGAGAAAGCTGAAATGGTGGGAGTCTGAGATGGTTTGACGAAGCTGTGACCTGACCCGAAAAGAATGGTGCAGCCTTTGATCCCAGGCGCGTAAACCCCGTTCTTGCCTGGTGTGGTCAAATTGAGTGGATGTCCATGGCCTCCAACCTACTAGCAATGGCCTCCAACCTAATTAGTAACAATTTGAGTGGATGTCCATGGTTCCCAGAGAGCTTGTCCAAGTGTCCGGCACTCTCCCCACCCGACACTTGGACCAAAGGATCGTCTGGAAGATAGTGTTCCCAATACCAAGCCGGTGACGTTTGGGGCGATATGTAGACATGTTGATTCTCGAAAGTACATGCAACAAGTGTTTGTAATGGCACATGGATATGACCGGCCCACAGTATCTACGAAAATAGTTGTCAATTGAGTCAATTGGTTGATCTTTTATGGCATCATCTAACGGTGTGATTGGAGGGTGTGCAGCAACTGAAAGGAAGGTGAGACGTGGGATGTCGCGGGATCATCCCTTTCATTGAAAGTTGCATTACAGTTCATTGGTTTATCGGGTTCCTATTTGGCCAAGGCACCCACAGGTCTTCAGCCTGGCCTACAACAATTATCCATGGTTGATCAAATTGACCAGCCTGCAATTGTTCTTGTTGTCAAGGCACTCGCAGAGTGTTCTCTACCAGTCAAAGTAATCGCCGCTCAGTTTGTCATACTTATCTCACCACCCATACTGGGTTCTAGTGGAGGATAGGTGTATGGGCGGACACTCCAAGGCATTGTTTTCTATACTCCCCGATGCACCCTCACACAGTCCTCGAAACCAGACGTGAACCACATGGTCACGTGGCTGAGGTGTTTCCCCCCACAGGGCAGCGGAGCGTGATCACAATGACTTCGGTCATTGGGCACATTTTTCAGCTGGAGTTCGATGGACAACTCTCCAATGATTTCTGGCTGCACAGTGGCTATGAGTGGAATCTATCGGAATCTTGTGCAGTACTTGTATGTGTAGCAATTACAGCACCAATACCATTACACATGTATATACACATGGTCCGGGTCCTTGTCCTTGCCCCTCCAGAAGCCAGAATATCAAGATATCAAGTCCTTCTTCGGCGCTGGCTGACCAAATACATTGACATACAATGAAGAACTCTTCCTACGCACCACAAGTGCCAATGACAGCATATGCACTGCATCCAGTTTGCGAGTTGAATGAATCAAATGGTGTTTGTAGCCGAACATACCCAATACTTCTGATGTCAGTGGGAGGTGAATAGCAGCCTGATATCCCCATGGCGACCGCTATGGATGACATTGGCCTGAGAAATTGCGACTTGCAAAAACAGGTCCGGTGAGGAAGGACTCCCCAGGTTCACGCATGCCCAAATTGTGGGCAAATCGCCTCTACACTCATCAAAGAACATAGACAACATTGGTTTTCACCTGAGGATTTGGTGGAGGTTTACTCCGCTCCAGTGGTGAAGGTCTTCACAGAGAGCGCGCGCAAGGTGCGCGTGGGAGAGCACTTGAAGGCCGGGAGCCTGTAGGTTTGGTGCGTGTGTGTGGTGAGGCTGGTGGTTCACCTCCTGGTGTTTATGACATGGCTTCTACTGGCATCAGATTGATGAGTTCCAGAAGGTCCATGGATCGAAAACTACATGTTTGGGGAAGAGACCATCCCTGCTTGGAACCAGCCAGAAAGAGGAGCATCACTAGACCGACCTCTTTGGCTGGTTGTGTGCTTGGATTTTCTTTATTTCCATTTGGGCAAACCATTTCAATCAACCTAAATTCTGAAAAGTGCTCGGCAGCTTCTCGCTGTAGTTGAGCTTTCGGTTCTTCACGGCCGATTACTATACTTAGTTGATCCTGAGTGGATATCTAGCATCCTTCTGGGGGCGTTGCGGGATCATACGTTGGTGAATCCTTTGGGCTTAATTTAGTCCTCCCCCTGCGAGGACTTAGCCAAAGACTCATCGCAGCTGTGCCTTTGGTTGGATGCTGATGCTCGTCCAGTGAGTTGAGCAACAGAAATGACTGAAACAGGTCAGCTTTCGGGTGTCTTTAGGTGCAGGTCTGAAGTATATAGTTTGGTTTCTGGGCTTCCTGGCAGTCATTTGTGAATGCCTCATCCGGATGCTGTGTTGCGTTTTTCTGTTCAAGTTTATTGCAACATTGCAGCCGTTTGCCAAACCATGATAAGGCCAGTGTTGGCTAGTGTCCACAGGAGCAATGCTAAGCCTGCAACTAATTTTGTTACTTGGAAACAGAGCAGAACAAACATGTCTTTGTGCCGTTGTGCAGCTACAAGTCAACTAAACACCTCATGTGAAGGGCAATAATTGTGTGACTCTGTCCGCTAGTTTCCGGGTAGAATTGTCCAATCGCCTCAAGTCTCAGAATTTTGAGGATCGCGAAGGTGAGAACATCGGCTTCGAAGTCATCGCGCTTTGCAAGGAGTTCTTCGATGAGACAAAGATCCATCGTGCGATTTTCTCGGCCCTCACAAAGGATGAGGTGAAAGGGGTTCACAAACGTTGAATGTCACGGTTGAGGTGTTGATATTATATAGACTCCAGGTTTTGCATGAAGACATGTATTTACAATGTTGGTTGTGCATGAATTGTTTTGGTTGTATTGTATCAATCAGACATGCGTTCTCTGTTGTTTTCTATTGTTGACATGTGTTGCTAATATTGCTACTACTATTTCGGACAAACAAAAATATGTCAATATAAACTGTTATCGCTAAAAGTAACTTACAGGCAGGTGTTTCTTATTTTGTCTTATTGGATGTTCCCACATGTTGCCTGCTCACAGAGCACAAACCACTCCGGCGCTCCAAAGCGTGTTGCCTTGGTCCAGGTGAGTGCCTCCTTTCAAGCTCTGGGGCGGCCCAATGCAGATATTGCCATGGGAGTGGATACACGGCAAGAGCTCGACTTACGTGTAGGACCCGCTTGGGACTCAAGGGGTACCAACTAGGTAACGAGGTTGTTGCCCTTCCAGAGGCAAGGGGAAACTGCTACTTCGGGAAAAGATGAGTTTTTGCCAGCGGCCTTTTCACCTCCAAAGCTTGTGCAACCGCAATGGGCAGCCATTGCTGGAAGGTTTTTCATTCATTGGTCGTTCATCGATTTTTGCAGCCACATGCAGGAATTGCTTTCAGTCGCCTGCTGACGCGACATTTGCGAAACACACCCCTGGCCAGACGAGGGAAAGGTCTCAAGCCCTCCATCACGTCCGCTGGCATGATTTCAGAATGTTCTTTGGGAAGCACAGTATGCTTTGGCACCGTTGAGTTCAGAGTCATTATCATTATATTATCATTACATTAGTAACTAGTAGTTCTTTAAGCTTTGCAGAAAAAGAACAGTGTGTTGCATTGCATGCCTGAGCTGGAGGTCCTTTTTTTAGGTGATTGAATCTCACCTCCTGACTTGGTATTGTCACTTCACAAAAGCTGTGACCCATTGGGGTGCCGCTCCGGCCTAGATTGATTCAGCACCGCCTTCCTGTCTTGCAACGGGACTCCCAACCTTCTCAAGCCACAAAGATGCCGATGAGCTGATCTAGTAGGCCGCCCAGAAGCAACATAAAAGAGGCACCTCTTACCACAGTGTCCTGATGTTCTTGGATCAAGCGCTCATTTTTTGCGCAGCATGTCCTTCTCGAGGTATGGCCCCTGCCAAACACCGGCCTTGGGATTCTGTGTCCAACGACAAGATGAGATTGACGCCTTTCGCCCAAAAAAGATCTGGCGCCCGACGCTGGAGCTCGCGACCAGCGCGAAGACTCGCACTTTGCACTTTGAATGGACCGGTGGTGAAACCCAGGACGGAAGAAAGATTGGATGGAGGGGTGTTGGGACGGGTTGCAAAGTATTGTAGTCAAAGGATGCAATGCTCAATGCTGATTTAGACTCAAAGCAGAGTTGTGATCTGATGTTTTTTTAGTGGTACTCCCGATGACCTTCAAATTAACCCGCAGATATCATCAGCAAACACGCTGCAGATTTAAGTGTCTCTCACAATACGTGACTCGACTGGCCGAATGAATGACTCGCATTCATGGCCTTGACCAAATCTTTGAGTTCCTGTTATTCAATGTTATTCACTTCTGTTATTCACTTCCATGTCATTTGGCGTCCCAAAATGTGATTTTAAGAGGACCCCGCCGAAGCCCAAGCGCTCCGGCGGGCCCTGACAGATGCTAACTCCGCTGAGCTGCAGCTCGCAGTGAAGGAGGACGGCCGAGTGATGGGCGGTCGTGGGAGGTCGGAGCAGGCGGGACCGGAAGCCACAAGCGGCCACGACATGCAGAAAGCTGAATGATGGCACGAATGCCTTCAATGAAGGTGGGTTGAAACGTATATTGCCACTGACTCTAGACATTAAATGAGGTTCGAAGAGATGGTGCCCCGCTGAAATATGGGAGTGCAAGGCCATTCAAAATGATTCAAAATGTATGCCAAGCTGCCAAGCTCAATATATATATATATATATAATATATATATATATAATATAGAGCTGTCTGGCTCCAAAGGCCTGCGGCTGGTGGGGATCGGCCCCTCCGTGGCCACTTTGGGATTCCCGTGAATCCAGGGTGGTGTCCACAAGGGATACGCACCCCGTGTCCTGGCCTAGGTGCGGTACCTTTGAACTTCGTGTTTCCCCTTAGGTCCTGTGCCATGGATAGCGCGAAGCTGGCTTCGATCTCCGCCCCCTTTGGGCCCCGACTTCGTGACCTGTCAGAGGCACTGCACTCTCCTAGCTGGAGCATTGCCCTTGGTGACAGGACATTGTTGTCGGCTGAGGCCCTCGATATACAAGGTGATGAAGTGGTTGCTCGGCTTTTCCGCTTCGTACCGGGTCAGGGCTTTGTGGACTCAGGTGACGATTACATCTCCAAGCTGCGTCTTCCGCGTTTGGGTGATAGACCGATCAATCTGTTCACTGGAGCTCACTTCACCTGCGTGGGCCTTGTTGTGAACTGCACTAAGGACATGCTGGAGTTCAGTGAGGGGGTTGCCCTAGGTATTCGACCAGAATTTGTCCCGGACATGGCGTGGAGCTTTCTTCACCAGTTCGCCGGAGCTTTTTCTGGGTGGAAACAAGCTGTTCAATGGTTGGGAAAGTCGGGCACCAATTTCGTGCTCGGCCAACAGGTCTCCGTGGATGCTGCAACCGAGGTCAGTTCGGTGTGGGAGGCTCATTTCGGTGAACCATCGTTGGTCTGCCCTGTCCCTCCTTTTGGGAGCTGGAACCCATGTGACCACATCCAGATGAAGGGTATGGTTGGAGACCTGTCACTGGTAAATCTTTGCCAGTCTCAAGTCAACGCTGCACAAACCATGAGTCCTCCATGCCAGAGTTGGTCTAAGGGAGGTGTTGGACGCGGACTCGAATCGGACAATGGCATGGCTTTCATCGACGGATTGCAACTGGGCCTTTGCTGCCAGCCGATCGCCATTTTCGCAGAATGCGCTGACGAGTTCGCTAGCCATCCACATGCTTCCGTGGTCATGCAACTTGCTGTGACCATGGGTTTTAAGCAAGTTTGGAATAAGATTGTGCCATTGCATCTCCTGTCCCCTCACACTCGCAGCCGATGGCTGGCTGTGTGGGTTCGAGCCGACATTAAAGCCCAGCTCTTCGATTTTGCCATTGTCCCTTCCATTTCACCCAGACCAGGGTGGACTGATGACGCATATCGTTTTCACCTGCCCAGGACTTGGCTCAATCAGATGATCCTGAGTGACTCCGAGAAGACCTTCTATGCTGATGCCGCTCTCTTGCCACCAGCCAAACGAAGGTGCTTGGGACCTTCTCCCACACCTCAACAAGTGCTTTTTGGCTCGGCTCCCTGCTGAAACTGATCCAATGCCCACTCTTTGTGCGGCTTACTCTGAGCAGCACAACCTCAGCAGCAAGCACTTGGCTTCCAAGGGCATTTATGCCTGCTTACAAATGCTCCCAGGTGGTTTCGCTTTCTTTGATCCAGCCACTTTCATCACACTTCTCGGAGCAACGGAAGACCAAACCATCCCGGCTAAGCTGGGCGAAGCTTTCCACATCGTGGGAAACGCCATCGCAGTGCCCCATGCTCTGCTTACAGTGCTCTTTGGCCTCCATGCTATTCTGCCTTGGCAACTTGACATTCAGGGCCTCTTGCGATCCTGCTGGCAGGACAGACTCACTGCACACAATGCTATCATCTTTCAGCAGGACGAGTGGATTCATGTCATCCGTCACACCAGTGCGACCAATTACCTTGGTGCACAACCACAGCAAAAGCAACAAGGTGAGATCCACATTGACATTCACCTCCACAGCAGTGGGATACGGGCTACTGGGAGCTTTGCTCCGCATTCCAGTGCAGGCAAAGACCCAGATCACTCCTGCCTGACATGTTGATTTGCCCAATCGCGACTTGGGACGCAATCACTGAGGAGTTGACATACCTCAATGCACCGGCCCCGACACTCCAGGCATACCAGCACATCCACTGGATTATCCAGGACAACAATCACTGGTTCCATGCCGAGTGTTACAAAAGCAATGGACAAGCACTGTTCTACCTCACATCTCCTCCTCAAACAGCAGGCAGGCTCCTTCCGTTGATCCAACACCTACGCACGGCACTTGGTTTCAATGGTGGTCAATTAATTCATTCTCCACTGCCGATCCCAAGCAGTCATTCAGGGCATGTGTGGGCACCAGGTCATTGCCGAGCTCTATGATCGACTGGCCATTGGCCTTCCTTCCCTGTCAAGGTGTCAGGAAGCGGAGCTTCGTGCGTCGCCGCACTATGACCGCCTGCAAGCAATCTGGAACCGTGGCTGCCACTCCTGGACGCAGACAGGAGCAAGCGCTTGACTGCAGGTCCTCGCCCAGGTTCTCAGGAGATGGCTTCTCCTGCGAGTTCACAGGAACCAGTTCCCAGAGTACACCACCGCCGCTGGTGCGGCATCTGACATGGATACCAGCCCCCAGCACAAATCCAGCCCCAGCCAGCCCGCAGCGGCAGCCCCCAGTGAGAAGCAGGACCCCCTGTGGCTCCAGGACCCCTGGTCCAAGAAGCCTGCCAAGGTGTCTCAAGCACGATGGGAAGATTTGATCCTGCAATCCCCCATCCCATTCCAGGGCACAGACGGCTCTCCCATGACACAAACCGACAGGTTGCAGGTGTCACAAGCACGAGCTGGAGTCATCCTGACGACCAAACAACACGCTTCAGAACTTTGCAAGGCAGCCGACAAACTCGACCTGGCTCTGCTCTTGCCAACGGTCGACGGGTCCAAACCAGCGAACATCTACCAGTCCGTCGAGGGGCCATATGAAATCACGGCAGAGGACCCCACATCGAAAACCGCATACAAAAGATTGGCACTCGTGCTTGTTGCCAAAGGCAAGGTTTCTTACAAATTGCCAGCACCAAAGCTCAAGCTCCAAACCGCTGCCATAGCCGAGTTGGTCCTGGAGTTCGATTCTCGACTCCTCCCAAAGGCAGAGTTCGAGAAATTGAAGGAGCACCCACTTCAGAGTTTTCGCCAGCAGATCATGACACTGCATCCCATCCTGGAAAATGCCCTCACCTTCTATGGGCTCCGTACCTCAAGGCACCCCGGAGCAGCAAAGCAGGACCAACAGCTACAGCGCATGCTGAAGGCACCGTACTCTGCTCGCACCAGCCTTTTGGAGACCTCGGGCCAGACAGCCCTCCTGACCAGGGACTTCATCGAGCACACCAAGGAGCCTGGTGACACCACAGTCCTGCCCAGGTTCTGGGATGTCACCCAGCAAGCCTTTGCAGAGATGCGTATCACAACCAAGGGCATTCAAGGAGCGGCTGGCCTTGTCGTCACTCGCAGAGGCCTAGCTCTCAGGATTTGGACTAAGCACATCGCTGAAGCACGGAGGGCGCTCCTCCCCAGCGACAGCAGGCTCACAGACGAGAATCGCCATGTGGTGCCCAGACTGACCTTTCAGACATCAGGATGGCCTGCTGGAACCGATCCATCCAGCGTGGTGAAATCGATGCTGGAAGCCACGGGAGTTGCCACAGTCCCTACACGGACTTTCCGAGCTGCAGGAGTGCGCACCTGGATCTTGACTTCAGAGACGCTTCCATCCATCACCAGATTCACGGTCGACGCCGATGGAGCTACTTGTGAGATCCTTCTTCAGCAGATCACCTCTGGCAACAATGCAGCCAAGGGACAGGCTAAGGGCAAACAGAAACCACGGGCAGCCAAAAGCCATCCCACCAGCACCACTTCGTGGTCACCGCATGCCACACTTGCCCAAGCACCGCAACAAGATGATGAAAGGCTAGGCAAGCTGGAAGCGCGCTTTGACATCTTGGAAAAGCGCCAATGCTCTTTCGAGAACCGTGTCGAATCCAAATTCGACCACATTGCTGACAGCCTACGCCAAATCCTGGCTGCCAACCACACACGTGGGCGGGAGACATCAGGCGAAACGCCTCCTCCCAAACACCCAAAGCAGTCGTGACAGTCAGCGGCAGTGGCCCTCTGCCCTCACCTCCTGCCATTAGCGGTGTATGTCGGCCCCCACAGGCTTGCTTTTGCTCACCATGCGCCTCGGCTGGAGGGTGACTTTTCTTGGGTCGCTGCTCTCCTTTGTTTATGATGTAAAATAGCTAGATAAGACAAGGGGGTCTATAACTTAAAAATAAAATTTAAAAAAAGTCCAAACTCATTCAAAAGTCCAACCAAAACTCACCTCTCACCAGGCAAGTCCAAGCAAAACTCAAAAGTTCAAGGCAAAGTCCAAGCAAAACTCACAGGTTCAAAGGAAAGCTCAAGCGAAACTCAAGGAGCTAGGGGAACCAGGGAAGCGCCCGCTCAGCGAGTTTTGGGCGAGCTTTGCGCGAGCTTTTGACGAGCTTTTGACGAGCTTTGGTAGAAGAAAACTAGACAAAAACTAGCACCGAACTCACCACGACGCTCACGCCACGGGAAACTACTTTTGCGCGAGCTTTCCCTGAGTTTTGCTTGAACTTTTTAATGATCAGTTGAATTTGCTTTGGACTTTCCTGTTGACTCTTGAGCTTCCATTGGACATCAGCGCAGCACAAGCGAGCTTTAAGCGAGCTTGAAAACGAGTTTTGGGCGAGCTTTAAGCGAGCTTAAGAGGCCCCTGTCTTATCTGCTATTTTACGTCATAATCCTTTGTGGATTTTGGACTTTGCTGTCTTGGACTTGCAGAGCCTTCTCCATGTCTCCTTTTCATGCAGCAGGTGCAACCACCTCTGCTCTTTTTGACTTCCGCCTCCTCCGCTGTGCTGGCGTCCATATGATCTTTTGGATTTTCCGATGGACTTCGTTCTCTTTCCTTGTGTGGGCACACTTTGTCGGTTCGTGCCAAGGGGGTGATCCAGAGATGCGGCACTTTGTAGGAGACGATCCAATTCGAACGCCTCAAGCCCAGTCACGCAGTGGTAACTTGCCACTCACAACGCTCGGTAGAAAAAGATCTCGGCCTGACTTCCCCAAGGGAGTGTGTCATCGATATTTTTGTGCAACCGCCGTCATTTTGGAACTGCCTTTCCTGGTCATCTTTAGAGGATCTTGTATAGCTTCCAGCCATTTTGGCCACCTCTCTTTCGATCAGACCTTAGGGTACCCCGGGGAGGGACCTTTGCCTTCTCGCATGATTTTGACATCCAATAACGTGGGTTCTCTTCAAACCAACACTGATTGGTCCGCTTGGGACTCCCATATCACATGCCTGCAAGAGACTCGTGTTGGCAAAAACAATATCAAGACTGCCACCATTACTGCCAATCACGCTGGTTTCGAACCTGTTTTTGGTCAGCTCTTGCCTGGGTTCATACAAAGGACGGGAAAAGCACAGACTCCGTGTGGGGGTGTGGCGGTCCTCGGTCCTCGTGAGGCTACTTGCCCTTTCGACCCCCGCCGTGATCAAACCGGTCTGTACCCCGGACTCTTCGCCTCCAAAAGAGTTGTTTGTGCCTGGGTTCAAATTCAACCTCGAAGGAAGGCCTTGATTTGTTCCGTTTATGCCACTACGGGGGCGTCACAGGACAACCAAGCCCATGCCGAGAACAACACCCTTTTCCGTGACCTTTTTGTTTTCATGTCCCAATTCGGCTCCATCCCTGTCATCATTGCAGGGGACCTTCAGGCCAACCCTTTGTCCTATCCGGCAATTTCGGACGCCATTCATTTCCATAACTGGCAGGACCCCTTGAACATTGTGGATGATCAGGGGGACATTGTTCGCCCACTCACTTACTCCAGGGATAGCCTCTTTAGTGGACCGGGTGATGCTTGCTCCTCCATCGACGCAGTTCTTTTGAACCAACAGGCTTTTCTTGCTTTGCACTCATGTGAAGTTGTTCCAACTCTTGGGCGGCAACACAGACCCATTCGTTGCTCCTTCAACTGGGAAGTCCTGTCACAGGTTGGCTTTACCCTGTTCAAGGCCGCTCCTTTTGAATTTAGTGGCATCCCAAAAGAATGCCAACCCAAGAAGTCTTGTGGTGCTGAAGACAGTCCGGATCCCGTCTCTCCTGAATGGGAAACATATTGGAAACCTGGTTTTAACCTAACCAAACGCACGATCCTGATCAGAAGTGGTCGCTTGTCAACCGGTTTTGCATTCAAATGCTTCTTAACCAGGGGGCTACCTGGGGTGATGGGCCCCACACAAGAGCTGAGCCACCCAAGTTTGTCCGAAGGCAATTTTGTCCGGCACAGCACTCCAATCACTGTGCTGCAACGAGATTCAGTTCACTCCTTTTCAAACTCCAATCTCGGCTTGATGAGTTGTTTGTCCGCCGTTCAAGGGGCTCGAGAAGTGATCATGATTGGTTTGTCTTCCGCCAGACTTGCTCCAAGGTGGCCCATGGCCTTACGGAGGCTAGTGCACCGGTGGGGTGGCCCCCACTCTCCCAGGTTACCCTGGTCCATATTCAACAAGCCAAGGTTTGGGTAGTCCATGCCATTCAGGAACATGCCAAAGCCGTCAAGAGCTCGAGAATCAGCCGCTGGAAAAACCGTATTCAGCAATCAGCCCAAACTGGCTGCAACTATGTGTTTCAACATCTTCGGAATAAACTCGTTGACGAACCCCCTAATCTCATCCAAGATGATAGTGGCAACATCATCTATCAACCGGATCAGGTTTTGACCTGTCTCAACGACAAGTGGGACTCCGTATATGGGGTCAACACGGAGCATGCTCATCCTCTGAAGATGTTAGAAACAATCTGGCCTTATGTTCAGCACCACACACATGAGGCCACCCTTCCTCCAATTGATGCCAAGGCCCTTTTCCGTACAATCCAAAAACGGATACCACATGCCGCACCCGGACTCGATGGATGGAGGACACAAGAACTACAGGCCCTTCCCATTGAAGCCTTTGTCCCGGTTGTTAGCTTCTTTGAGTGGGCCGAAGACCAATTCGGTACGGATCTCCCCAAGATGTTGACATGCACCAAGCAAGTCATTTTCCACAAACCAGGTCCTTCCCACGCCATGAACAACAGGGTCATCACGATCCTTCCTGCTTTGATCCTTGCTTACACTGGTGCACGGTATGACCAGTTGCAGTCCTGGCAGCATCGCACAATGCCCCCCTGCATTGTCGGAGGCATCAGGGGCAGGACAATGCCGATGCTTCACACTGTTCTTCGACTTGATATTGACCAGGCCATTACTCGGAATCAGAGTTTAATAGGTATGAAGCTTGATTTAAAGCCAAATGTTTCGATAGGATTATTCCGGCTCATACAAGCGCTTTGTTTCTCGCTTTTGGCCTCCCGAAGGGGTTTGTCAACTTCTTCACCAAAATGTACAAGGGACTGCACCGACGCATTAGCTATAAAGGTTGGGTCAATCCCACTTCAACCACCAGCTCCAACGGGGTGGCACAAGGTTGCTCCACTGTCACTCATTGCAGTCAACGTGCAAACCAAAGTCTGAGTGCACCTTTTGGAACACCTGCCTGAGGTGACGATGAAGGCATATGTGGATGACGCCTACTTGTGGTGTAGACTGATTCACGCTTCCATTCTCGATCAGGCGATTCAGATCACCAAGCTGTGGGACACTTTGAGTGGTCAAAAGCTAAATGATAGCAAGTCGGTCATTTGGAGCACCACGACAGCCGGCCGCAAAGTCGTACAACAGACCTTCCCAGAGATGCAGATGACGCTCTCTTTCGAGGCACTTGGGGTAAGGGTTTACACTTCCCAGAGAGATGACTGCAATTTTCCGGAGGCCACATTGGCTAAGGTGTGCCATACAATTGAATGCATAGGTGCCCTCCCTTTATCCATGCCAGTTAAGTCCTTTCTTATTGGGGCTAAAGCGATTCCCACCATCACTTATGGTGCTCATGTGTCTAGGATTCCGAAAGTGTCAATGCGGAAAACTCAAAGTGCTGTTCTCAAGGCCTTGTGGCAGGGTCGACCCATGGCCCGGTCAAAGTGGCTGGTACAACTGTTTCATAGCCGCCCCCACCGTACGGATCCCGTGCTTGCCCAGGCCTACTGCAGCATCTTGGACCTTTTTCGGTTCTGCCACCAGAGTCCGCTAGCCGTCCAACAACTGATAGCCCTCTGGCCCTCGAGACAGAGTCAGAAACATTCAGTGTTGGCACGGTTCGCCTCAGCTTGCCAGACAATGGGACTGTCCATGACAAGCCACCCTGGCATTCGGTACCATGACTCAGCTGCCCTGATTCTCGGGCATGCCACTGCCCACGACGTAGCCCAAACGTTGCAGCAGGTCGCTCGACAAAAGGCTTATGAATGGGCTACCAAAGCCACACGGAAAGATTTAATTGGTTTCGGAGGTTTGCTTGATTTTCACGCCTCCACTCTTTTCCTTAGGAAGCCAACTTTCCAAACGCCCAGCGGCCCATCGGCTATGGCACACTGTGAATCCATGATGGTAGGATGCACCATCACCAAAGATCGCTTGTTTGCCGCGGGTTGGTCCCAGAATGACAATTGTAGGTTTTGTGGGCAGTCCAAAGAGTCGCTTGAGCATCTAGTTTTCTTTTGTGATGCCTATCACAGCCTCACAAGGAAACCAGTCCTTCACGAATTGGGTAATAACTTCCCAATGTTAGGTCTGGTTGAGCACCCTTTCCGGCTCACTCAGTTTCGTCTCCAGCAGGCCATTGCCAAACCCGGTGACGCCCGTGCTTTTGATCCATCGTCTGAACCCACTGAGGCATGGACAGACGGCTCAGTTATGTGGTCTACCTCCTTCTGGCTGACGACAGCTGCATTCGCCGTTGTTAATAAAGCAGGTACTGTGACTTTCACAGGCCGTGTGCAGCGCTGGGGATTGTCAAGTTACGTGGCGGAACTGTGGGCGGTGTGGATCGCCTTCAGCCAGGCCTCAGCAGCGATTCAAATCGTCTGTGACAACAGGTCCGTAGTTCGCAATGTCAACTTCCTGATCACCACGGGACACGTGAAACAGCATTGGAAATGTTTGGATTGGTGGCATGCAATTCAAACTGTTCTCTCACAACGCCAGCACGACTGTTCCAACCCGTTAACTGTTTCTTGGATACCGGCACACGTCTGCGAAGATACTCCGGATGAACTCTTGGACCCTGTGGTAGTTGCTGGTGTCAATACGACCGTTGAACATGTCCGACTAAACAGAAGAGCTGACAGAGCTGCCAAGAGCTGTGCACTCCGCATCTCTCCCGTCAAACCGGACATGATCCCAGTGGTACAGGCGGCTTCCACCCTATATCAAGAGTGGCTGGTCAAATTACACTGTCATTTGGACACCCACGCAGTACATGAAGAGGAGCCAGAAAGGTCGTCCACAAACGACATCCTCGACCTCCCTACTGCGAAGAGAATGTTTCCGAACTGGCTGTGGGACGAACCAAAAAGGGCCTTCCCCTGGAAGCCCAAGATTGCACTTGATTTGAAGGTTCCTGACCGCTGGCGACACGCAAAGGCTGACTGGCACACGATTTGTTGCTTTGCCCGCCAACTGCAATGGCGACATGAGGAAGGTTGCGCCATTGCCTTTTGCGAGTTGGCTGCTCTCTTTCACTTTCAAGGCCATAGGCTCCAGGGCGATTACAGCGTCCTTACGATGCACTCGGTCACGTGTGTCTTTTGAGACAGGCTTTTCAATTTCTGTTCAAAGATCAGAATGTACAGCTCTGTCCAGGTTGCTTCTCCGCGACCCATGTCAAATCATGTGGTCGAGTGCTGCCACAAAGCGCTATTGTAAATGCAGTTCCGTTCATGCATGCTGATGCACATTTTCACTTTGCACAAATTCTGTGCAATGGTTCGGGGCGCACGATTGAATCGTGGCGCGTTCCATTTCGTTCTGGCTGAGGCCTTGCACAGGGGGTTTTCTTTACATGCCCAGATCAGAGCATCTGGCATGTCGTCGTCGCGGTTGACAGACCGTCCGATGAGTGGGTGATATATAATCTAATATAATATATAGTTCAAAGAATTCCGAAGAAGAGGTTGGTGACATGACGATCAGAATGAATCTTCCATGACAGTGATGATTGAAAGGAGGTTGTCTATTCCCCTTTTTGGTTCAACTGCGAGCAGAAGGGAACAAACAGAAGCTGCGATGTAGACATCGGCATAGGCCGCCACAGTCATAGGCCAAGATCTAGAACCCAATATCCCTGATTGGCACAGGTTGCCATGACTCAACACATTTGAACATCCCAAAGGACTTGTTCACATGAACCAAACACGTGCAGCGTCCTTGTTCCTAGTAGCGATGCCCGGGTTCCTAGTAG